CCACTATATAAACTGGGGGCAGTTACCCAGAAAGGCTAGATCACTGCTTGGTCAGATGGGGTAGCGGTCGGCGGGTGGTGAGTGGTTGTATTCTCTCCCCTTGTTATTTCCCTTATCATTATTATCACTGGTGGTAGCAGCAGTGATTTCTGTTAAACCTTAGTTACTGGACTGCTCTTATCTCAACCCATGGGAGGTACATTCTTTCAATTCTCCTCCCCATCCCTCCGGGAGTGGGGGGGGAAGGGGAGGAGTGAGAGAGAGACTGCATGGTTCTGATTTATGGCTGGGCTTAAACCACGACAGGCACTTATCATTTTGTGGAAGGTAGACTTCCTGGTAGTGACTTTTCCTTTTGGCCTTCCCCATTGCCATCTCTTGCCCCTCTTCCCCATGTTCTGAGTTGTTCTCATTCTCTGCCTTCACAGATTTAAGATTTAAGCTTTCTTTTCCTAATCATTCTGCCACAGAAAGTCTCTCTTTCCCTGACCAGTTTCCCATCTGATTCTGTTCCAGGTTTCAGGATGAAATAGCCGTGCACAGAATTTCAGTCTCTTGTCAATCTCCTTGGCATTTTCCAGTCTGCCTTTCACCATTTTCCATTCTAGGTTTTTCTGGCCTTTCTGCCAGTCTAAAACCCTCAGACTGACTGAAGTCAATAGGAGACAATAGTGAGAGTCAGTTCTTCACTGGAGCTGCTTGGTGCCCTAGAATTTAGCAGCAGGTTCAGGGGAAAATCCTGCTCATTCCCAGTAGCATTGGGCTGGATCATTGCCAACTGTCATCACATCTTTGAAGAAATCAGTCATAAAGTCAAACTTGATTCATAGTTGGCTTCTTTGACTCTCAAAAATAGCATGTAATGCTTGAGAAGCGTCCACCTTAGCAAATATTTTCTATGCTACTGCAACCAGTCTTTCATTAAAAATGTTGTAGGTGTCACAAATAAGGTTTCTAGTTATGAGTATGACTCTCAAACTTCCTTGCATTTAGTGACCTCTAGAATTTCTGGTTTTTGTTATTATTATATTAATCTGAGACAGTGCAATGTTTTTTCTTGTTGCGTTTTTTCCCCTGTTGATTGATTTGATTTTTTACCAACAAAAGGCATTTATTTTGCTTTGGTTTTTGTTCAGATTGGTTTTAAATTGGTTGGCTTTACAGCTAAGCAAAGAGTCCCTGGTGCTGTCATATGCTACTACCTGAAAGACATGGTGACATTTGACACCAGCCTACAAATCGTGTTATGTATTTCACTGCATGGGAGAGAGGGTGCAGGCTTATTTCTGTGTATCATGTGAGCAGTAATCCCTGCCTGCAGCATACCATCATTTAACTCTGCAATTCATCTTCCTATATTAAGGACTTTTCTTATTTTTCTTATATTAGTTGTATATTATTATCTGTTTGAACAGGGAGCCATTTCCCCTAGTAATAAATTTGCACGTACTTCCACTAAAAAAAAAACCAAACAACCAACGAACAACCAAAACAACAGAAAACCCTACCAAACCCAAGCCAGAACAAAAATCCCAAAGAAGTGATCTTTTCTACTATTTTAGTTTCAGGTGTTTATTGCATTCAGCTCTGACTCTAAAATATTTTTACTGCTCATCCCTTCTGACATTTACTAATTTTAACTTCAGCTTGCTCAGGTAGTACTTTCTCACACAGTCCTCAGCTGTCTTAGAAAGAAAAAGATGGGTCTGGGATTGCCTTCTTCCTAGCATTATTGCTACTTTATTGTAATTGATAGCATGGGCACAACGATGACTGTTGAAGCTGAGCTTTGTATTTTGTATTCCACTTTGGTCTGCTGAGTAAGAAAAGTGTTCTTCATGACAGCACTTCTGGTTTGAAGCTCTTATGGCAGAAATCCTGGGAAAGACACTTGTGCAGGCTGCGAGCCAAGCACTCCTTTCGTGTTAAGCAGAGATACTAAAACCTAAAAGGGTGCTGTTCTTTTTTTACATAGATTGACTCGTTTAGATTTTCCTAAAGCTTCCATTTGACGTTGTTTATGGAGTTAAAATACTTCTTCAACTCAGCCTTTATATTTTCTATCAGTGAACCTGTTCATTCGTGGCAAATGATTAACAGGCTTGAACACCTACCAGAACCTCCCCTTCTGCTTCAGTGTGGCTGAAATAGCTTAAACTGCATTTGCACCCAGCTGTGTGCCAGCAGCGCTGTAGACAGATGTACCTAGTCTTACTGTAACGTAACTATTCAGGTGAACAGCGGTGAAGCTATGCATAATGCATTCTTTGTTGTGAGCTAGGACGCTCCCCTGTCAAGTGAAGCCTGCCCATGTTACTGCATTCACACCAGCTCAATTTAGACTGCAAGACAGAAAAACAATAGAAGCGAAAGCAACCTTGTGTTTCCTGGTTGAACTGCATTATTTAGTGTCTAAAGAACTTGGTGTGCTTCCAAAATCACATTCATTTCATTATTTTGCTGCAGTCTGTACTGGCCATTCTGTCTCTTGCCTGATCAACTTTTGCTTTGTGTCCTCAAATCAGATTTTCTGGAAGTGGCAGTGGACAGGAGGAAAATGCAGCAATGGAAACTGCAGATATCAACCCGAAAACCCTTTGTTCCTTACCTCTATATAAGTCTAGATAGTATTTATGATACTACAGACCAGCCTGTAGCAATTTTCCTTGAAGAGCTTAGTAATGACATTGGTTCATTTGCATATATGGAAATTGAAGGATTCAAGGTTAGTATGCTTAGATGCGAGTCATTGTTCTGAGCAATTTTAGTGGAAGAAGTGCAATAAAAATGAATAATGCATTTCATGGAATTAGCATAAAGTTAATGTGGTTGCCAGCTTTTAATGGGTACTTGCAGTTTTATCCTGCAGACTGAGTAAAACTGTGTACTTGCTCTTTGCTAAAATAACAGTGTCTTGCTAGGTAACAGTTGTGTTGCGCTCTGGCAATGTCTGGTTGAAATGGCTAAAGCAAAGCCATTGAATATCTTGAGCAGCTGTCTCGATGATTGGCCCAGCTTCTGGTTTTGGCTCCTAAAGCTCCTGCTCAGGCACCCCTTCAGGTGGCTCATTTGTCTCCTCCTTTTGAAAATGTTGACATCTACCTGACCTGCATGGGTTTGTGATTCAGTTTTTGTGAGGTCTTTGCTGAATTAATTTTAGCTCAGATCGGTTCCTTTACCTGGTTTGTAACACAGGAGGAAGGAGAGGTAGCTTTGTTTTGTTTCTTCTTCATCTGTTGGTAGCATTCATTTGCAGTTTTATATAAATAGGGTCTGAGGCATGGGATCAGAACTTCTTAACACTGGTTTCGTTGCTGAAGTCAACATATTGCATAACTAATGCTCTCATTTCAAACCATACGTTCTATATAAATATGTAACTTGCTTAGCATACCTTGGAGTTGTGTAACATTCTACACCTCTTAAGTCAGAGGTACTCTTAATGGGATTAGATGCAATCATAATTGAATTACTGTGGTGTGATACTGGATTTAGGGGTTTACTCCCTTTAGTTCTGTCTGTGTTAGTGAAATAGAAAGCTAGTTTCAGATGGAAAGAAAAATGCGTATGTGATGTTTTCTTTCAGATGTTCCTAAGCTCCGGCACATCTCCTGAGCTTCATGGTTATTTGCATGCAAAGGAGCAGGGGAAAAAATCCTGGAAAAAACTGTACTTTCTTTTGAGAAGATCTGGCCGTTATTTTTCCACTAAAGGTACATCATAGGTAAAAGAAGAAAATAAAAGGGGAGAACATAATGAACTTAGAGCAAATGTGGATGTATTTAAAATCTGTTCTAATAACAAAAATTTTAATTTTAACTTAATGATAAAAAGGAAAAAAAATTTATAATAGATAAAATCTAGAGCGATATAAAATTGGAAAAGTATTGTCTTAGAAACAGTAATTTCTTTTTGCCTAACTTTGCTTCATTCTGATCAGTATTTTGCCAGTCAGTTAACAGCGTACTCTTTTAAAATCAATTTTCAACTAGTAGTTAAAATGCTGAAGTGTAAGTAGGTGCTTTGAAAAGGGGTTGTCTTACTTCATTATGTAAAATAAAACCCCTGTGTATAAAGGGATTTTACAAGAAGATTTTGAGAGTTCTCATGTTTTGTCACTGCACAGTTTTCCATTTTACTACTTCAACTTTTTGGTGGCAGTTCTTGAAACCTGATAATGTCAAACAGGATACATTGGAGCTGAGACACCTTGTACGTAAACCACTTAAAACAAAGGTTTTCCTTGTTTTGAATTTTCTCTGTTAACTGTCAGAGTAATCATTGAGCTGCTTTTGTACCCTTCAGCAAATCTCTTTTGTTTTCTTCCTTAACTTGGTTCATCTTAGAGGATGGAGATAATGGTTAGAAAGAGGAGTGGACAGTTTTCAGGTTATGAAAGTACCTTTTATTTTGATTGAAATGCATGCAGGTCTCAAACCTTGACTCCTACTGTAATAGTATTGTGGCTTGAATTTAGTGGATGTTTTTCCACAAGTGTCATCACTTGTACTTTGGTTTTTCTCCCTCTCTGGCAGAATGAACTCTTTGACTAATTTGGTGTGCTTTTTCTCTGCATTATGAAATTAAAGCTGAGTTGTCTCTTTCTAGATTTCATGATGTCAGTGTTAAAACTACAGTATGTTAAGACTATTTTGGAGCAGGATAACTACTATATCTCTGGAGAGGCTGGCTAAAAATAGTCTAACTATAGTACATGGCTCTTCTTTTTAGGAGCCAAGGCATCTGCAGTTTTTCTGTGAATTCAGCCATAGTGATATGTACGTGTCTTTGACAGGCAAAAAGATTTCTGGAGCACCAACAAACCATGGATTCTGCTTTAAGGTACAAGCTTATTATTCTGATACATATTAAAGTAAACCACAATATTTAGGTAAGCTGAAGATTCTTTGAGGTTTCTGAAAACAATATTCAGCTGTCTCTTATAAAATAGCAGAATTAGTGGCTTTTATTTCAACAGGTATTGTGTTCAAGATATGCATTAATGCTAAAAAAATGTTCTGTGGCCTTCTAGCCTAACAAATCAGGAGGAACCCGAGACCTGAAACATCTCTGTGCAGATGATGAACAAAGTAGGACCTGTTGGATGACAGCAATTAGGTTGCTTAAGGTAATTTTTCTGTGTGGAGTTAACTTCTTGCTTAGGTTTACTCTGTGCAATTTTGATATTGTGTGCTAGAGGAACATCTAGGTTCCCATGCAATAGCAATCTCAACTTTGTACTCTGAAATGTGAAAGCTTATTGTATTTCAACCCAATAAATGGAGACCAAATTACTGAAATCATTGTAGGGCATGGGATGATGTCTTGAAGCCTCAGTCCTGCAAATACTTAACTATAAGCATATGCTTATATGCAACCATGTTGAAGTCATTGAGGTTGTTGAGTAATATTGAACAAAACAACAGGAATATGCAAGAATGTTTTTAGTATGTTTTTAAAATGTGTCTATGTGTGACAAAATAGGAGTAGGTCATTTGTTGTATTAAATGGGTAGCATTTAAAGCAGAGTGTACGTTTATAAAGGCAGCAGCAACAGTGGTGATAATGTGCATTTCCTTATCCTAAGAGCAGTTGTCCCTGAGTTTTAATAGTAAAGAAAAGCATGTGTTATCATTGACATCTGGGAAAAACAATTTACTTAGCTTAGGGTTATAATTTAAAATGCTAAGCATGTTATTTTCTGGTTTCAGTATGGGATGCAGCTGTATCAGAATTGCATGCAACCGTATCAAGGTAGAAGCGGCTGCAGCCCTTTGAATATAACACCTATGGTATGTCCCACAGTAGCTCCACGAATAAATACATCGTTTCTGCCATCGTGCAAGTCTTTGCCTATGTGAATGCTTGCTGAAATATTTAGGGCTGTTAGGGTTGACTACAGAGCTAATTAATTACTTAATGCAAATCAGGTAGTTCAGACCAATTAAGAGGCTTTTTCCCTCTGTCAAATCATGAATCTTTTGAGAGTTCGTTGGCTTATTATCGCAGTCAGAAAGAATGGAAAGAGGATTTTGGAAACAGAGCACCGGAGCTATAAATGCATAAAAAAAGAAGCAAAGTGTTTAAGGATACACATGCTCTAAGTGCTGAATAAGAAAGCTGTAACAAATCCGTTTTGGTGTACAGTAATACTTCCATTTTATTTTTTTAAATATGAAATGTTAAGTACTTGAGGTGAATTTCATCTGCTGCAATACTGACTGGACTTTGGAGGAGCACTGTAATTTGGCAGAACTGGATTTTGGAGGACAGCAGCCTATACTAGATGCTGTGTCCATCTCCTCAGATAGTTGGGACTGGATCAGGTTGTCCTTCCCTTTAATATCTTATGTTTTTTCAGCTCTTTATGAGTCATTTGATTTCAGACATTTTCATGGATGATTTGTATCACTTTTGTGGTTTTTGTTGGCTAAATTGAGTAAAAATTACATGTTGCAAGGAATCGTGACAGTGATTTTATGGTGGATTTTTTGAGCTTTTATTATAATTCTTGCTGTTAAAATGCCTAAAACATGCATTTGCTGTACAGGTATTTAAAAAGTTAGTTTTCAGTGATATTGCTAATATGCACGGTTTCAAAACTGTGATAAATACATGGACCATGTCTTCACTTCCTTTTATGTGAAGATGTTACAATAGACAGCTGCTGCTTTTATAATGGATCGTGGCACCATTATCAATTCTCTTTTCTCATACACTCTTGCATGCTTTTTAACTCACAAAACTTCTGACACAACAGAATCTATAACCAGTATTAAGCATGGCACTGTGTTTCTACTTGTGCATAATACATGAATTAAACAGTAAATTGGATAAACTTGGGAATTAAGTGCAGAAACTAAGGAACATACTTCACAAGGGCACCACTTCCATGTTTCACATTCCTCAATCACTCACAACCATGTGATTGGATCTGAGGACGATCTGAGGAAGAAGTTCTTTACTGTGAGGGCGGTGAGGCACTGGAATGGGTTGCCCAGGGAGGTTGTGAATGCTCCATCCCTGGTGGTGTTCAAGGCCAGGTTGGACAGAGCCTTGGGTGACCTGGCTTAGTGTGAGGCGTCCCTGCCCATGGCAGGGGGGTTGGAACTGTATGATCTTAAGGTCCTTTCCAACCCAAACTATTCTATGATTCTATTCTATGTCAGCTACAAGGAGTTCCCTCCACTCTCCTAGAGACAAATGGTTTCCCTAATTTCACCTGTGTTTTTTACTTTAGCAAAGTTCTTTACAAGTTGCAGTTACTCAGGCAGGACGTAGATTACAGTGTCAACAATTACAGTGAGCTGTAGTTTCTAGTTACATTCATGCTTATAACCAAACAGGAACAAAACAGAGCTGCTTTGGTTTTGGACTGGGAAGCTTTGCTAGCCCCACAGAAATCTGGGCCTCTTGTGTTCCAGATGTTACTTTACCTTACACAATGCTAGAATGTTCCTTTAATCTTTTGATATTCCAGTGCCTGCCGACATTCGAGCCATTACAACCTGTATTAAACTTGATTTTGTAAATCTTGGTTTCTGGGAAATATTTTGATGAGTTTTAAGACTGTTTTGTCAAACTTTGGTGGTTTTATTCTATTGCTACAAACGATCTTCATGAAGAGAAAAAGTGTAACAGATCTACAGTTGTTAAGTCTCTAAAATCCACTCAAAACTTTGAGTGAAAATTTATATTAAAAATATATAAATTTATGAAATTTATAATGAAATATTCCAAGTCTTTGTTAATTTGATGGTTATTTGTAAGAATTTTTATTTTCTCCTTTTTTTTTGTTACTTGGACAACTTAACACTTTCCTGACCTGTTTTGACATGCAAAGGGCTTTTTATAGTTGAATATATACATAGAGTTTTGGGTAAATTGATGCAATTATTGTCCATTGCAGTAAGGCAAAAAGATGATCTCTCCTGCCAGACTGTAAAATTGCAGTTTGCAGCAGCAATGCTCCCTTGGGTTGAATGAGTTTGGCTCTCATGGAAAACACTGCAGATGCTTGAAACACCCCTTACAAAACAGAATGTTTTTTTCAGAAGCTGACTTCAAAATGATGGATGTTTTAAAAGATGAACAAACTAAATCTAGTTTGTTGTAGAGAAGTATCTCAGAAAATTCTTTGGTAGCAATGGATTTCTCAGGACACAGAAGCAGAATTATAGAAAATCCAACAGAAGCCCTTTAAGTTGCAGTTGAAGAAGGATGAGTGTGGCAGGTATCAACCCCTTTGTTTTACCAGGACAGTAGTTTCTGGGTTGTTTTTGTTTGGTTGATTGATTGTTTTTCTAACAAAAAAAAGCTCTGAAATCATGTTTTTACTTCTCTCTCATAGAGAGGAGAGGTTGCCTGTGACTCAACTCACATGGTAGTCCTATTGCCATGTCTAACATGGGTATGTGTGAGTTAATTAATTGCCAGAGAAACACAATAGCTGGTTCTTTCAATAAAGGCAAAACATTTTTTAAAGATCTTTATTTCTACAGCTATACACAGATCTCAGTTGTGGTTTCATCATAAAATAATCTAGAGGAGAGGCTCACAGACTTATTTTGCAGCATGGACTTGTAGATGAGTAAGTTAATTCTTTAGATAACTCTTCTGAGACACATTTCTAGTCAAAAGCTGCTCTTTTAGGGTACTTCTTATTGAGGGAGGGAAATGGAAGAAAAAAGAGTTTGCACTTACCTGATAGAAGTAAAAATTATTTTATATAGGGCTATCTGGGATTGGTTGGTTTCTGGGTTATATCTTCTGGAAGCAATGAAGTGGTGATCTAGCACTTTAATTCTGTCAGGGGCTGGTTACTTGTGTCCGCTCAGAGACAGGCACTGGAGCTCTGTATTTGCACAATATTCTCTGCGAACTGTTAACTTTGGCTCCAGTATCTTTTGTATCTCTTGTTAGTGATGAAAGAATGAAAAAAAAGCCTGAAAACATTATTCTGAGATGAGCTGTGCAGGGACAGCCATTGAAAAATGTGTGCTTTTCCTCATAAAATTACTTAAAAAAATCATATTATCCCCTAAAGGTAAAAAATACATTTTAGGATAAGACTTCTTTTTTCTCTCATTTAAATATTGATTTTTAAAAAACTATAAAGAAAAAAAGTATTTTATGTTCAAATCCTCCTATTTTTCATTTTTATGTTTTTATTCTTACTCCTGTATTAAATGCAAATTTGGGCCTCCTTCATTCAATGAGTAATTGCATAAAACTCTTTAAGTTTCTCTGAGTCTGTTTCCAGGTAGGTACCTGTAACATCAGATTACTGATTAAATTCCTTCAGTTTTAGATGAAGTACATGGTAATACTGTTTTTTACATCTGTAGAAAAGGCTCTAGGAAAAAAAAGCAATGGAAAGTGAGTTCTACTCAGTAAGGATGGCTAATTGGACTTCCCCTTTTGTATTTTTCCTTCTTTTTCCATGTAAGGGTTCCTATTTTTAATTCTGTCTAATGATCATGAAGCCGCTTCTGTTCTCTGCCTTCCTTTTGTATTTGTTACATGAGAGGGACAGGACATGGAGGTGACTCAAACACGTATTTCCCAGCAGTGTATAATTCCAGGACTGATTAATCTTCCAGTGTATTTCAGTGGGTACACACAAAACACAACTGTTAAATGAAACCCAGTAGATTTGGTGAGTAAAGAGCAATGGTGCTCAAGATAAGCATGCAAATACCTTGCTAACATTAGTTTAGTACAGTGTTCTTTATGTTATATTCTTGGATCTATTCATAGGTATGCATGGTTTTGGTGAGGATGATACTCTTGTATGGAATGTCTAGAATTGATGAGATCATGGTACTACGAGCACTCATGCTGTCAGATACATATTCAGGAGTTACCATGAAGTCATGAATACATTACAGCATGTGACAAATGGTGTGCTTTTTGACAAGCTGAGAGAATTCATTATCACCAGAAATAGAGAAGCTTTTTATGCAAACAATAAGATTTTAGTTTCTGGGGGCAGAGGGTGGGGCAGAGAAAATAATCCATGTTGAACCTTTTGAGGTGATCCCATGCAGGGAGATACGCTGAGGTCATAAGACCTCTTTGATACCATGTGTACCAACAATAGTCTGTTCACAATGGCTTATAGAAGACCAAGAGACTGCTCTAGAAAGGATACACACTACTATCACAGAATCACAGAATCCAGAATCCTAAGGATTGGAAGGGACCTCAAAAGATCATCTAGTCCAACCCTCCTGCAAGAGCAGGGTAACCTAGAGTACATCACACAGGAACTTGTCCAGGCGGGCCTTGAATATCTCCAACGTAGGAGACTCCACAACCCCCTGGTCAACCTGTTCCAGTGATCTGTCACTCTCACAGTAAAGAAATTTTTCCTGATGTTCACATGGAACCTCCTATGCTCCAGTTTACACCCATTGCCCCTTGTCCTGTCACTGGAAATCACTGAAAAAGACCTAGCTCCATCATTCTGACCCTCACCCTTTACATACTTGTAAACATTGATGAGGTCACCCCTCAGTCTCCCCTTCTCCAAGCTAAAGAGTCCCAGCTCCCTCAGCCTCTCCTCATAAGAGAGATGTTCCATTCCCTTAATCATCTCCGTGGCTCTGCGCTGGACTCTTTCAAGCAATTCCCTGTCCTTCTGGAACTGTGGGGCCCAGAACTGGACACAATATTCCAGAAGCAGCCTCACCAAGGCAGAGTAGAGGGGGAGGAGAACCTCTCTTGACCTACTAACCACACCCTTTCTAATGCACCCTAGGATGCCATTGGCCTTCTTGGCCACAAGGGCACATTGCTGGCTCATGGTCATCCTCCTATCCACCAGGACCCCCAGGTCCCTTTCCCCTTCACTGGTCCCAGCACCGACCCCTGAGGGACTCCACTAGTCACAGACCTCCAGCTAGATTCTGCCCCATTGACCACAACTCTCTGCCTTCTTCCTTCCAACCAGTTCTTGATCCACCTCACTACCTGATCATCAAGCCCACACTTCCTTAGCTTATCTATGAGGATGCTGTGGGAGACAGTACGTAATGCCCTACTGAAATCAAGAAAAACCACATCTACCACTCTACCATCATCCATCCACCTAGTTACTTGCTCATAGAAGGCTATAAGGTTGGTCAAACATGACTTCCCCTTGGTAAAGCCATGTTGGCTGCTCTTAATGACCCCCTCAGCCTTGATATGCCTAGAGATGGTGTCAAGAATAAGTTGTTCCATCCACCTCACCAGGGATGGAGGTAAGGCTGACCGGTCTATAATTACCCGGGTCCTCCTTCTTGCCCTTCTTATAGACCAGCGTGACATTTGCCATCCTCCAATCCTCAGGCACCTCTCCCGTTTCCCACGACTTACCAAAGATGATGGAGAGTGGCCCAGCAATGACCTCCGCCAGCTCCCTCAGCACCCACGGGTGTATTCCATGTGGACCCATCGATTTATAGATGTCCAGATTACTTAACTGATCCCTAACCCAACCCTCATCCACCAAAGCAAACTCCTCCTTTATCCTGACTCCTTCTGGGGCTATAGGAATCTGGGTCCCCTGGGGAGAGTCTGCAGGAGTAAAAACAGAGGCAAAGAAGGCATTCAGCACCTCTGCCTTCTTTATATCCTCTGTCTCCAGGGCACCCACCTCGTTCAGCAGTGGGCCTATACTGTTTCTTGTGTTAGTTTTATCTGCTATGTATTTGAAGAAGCCCTTTCTATTGTCCTTAACCCGACTTGCAAGATTAAGTTCCAAGGAGGCCTTAGCTAATTGCCAATTGCCTCCCTACATCCTCTAACAGCTGTCCTATATTCCTCCCAAGTGGCCATCCCCTCCTTCCATAATCCATAGATTCTCTTTTTCCGCATGAGTTTGCCCAGCAGTTCCTTGTTTAACCATGCTGGTCTCCTGGCTCCCCTACTTGACTTCCTACCCATTGGGATACTCTGATCCTGAGCTTGGAAGAAATGGTCCTTGAATGCTGACCAACTATCTTGAGCCCCTTTACCACCTAGTACCCTTTCCCATGATACTTTCCTTAGCAATTGATTGAAGAGGCCAAAGTTTGCCCTTCGGAAATCCAGAAATGTGGCCTTGCTAGGTATTCTGTTCCTCCCACACAGGATCCTAAACTCCACCATCTCATGGTCACTGCAGCCAAGGCTGCCATTGACCATGACCTCTTCAACCAGACCCTCCTTGTTGGTGAGTACCAGATCCAGCAGCGCTCCTCTCCTAGTTGGTTCGTCCACCATTTGCATTAAGAAGTTATCATCAATGCACTGGAGGAACCTCCTAGACTGTGAATGACTGGCTGTGTAAGTCTTCCAGCAAATATCGGGGTAGTTAAAATCCCCCATGAGGACCAAAGCATGTACTCGTGAGGCTGCTTTCAGTTGCCTGTAGAAAGCCTCATCAACTCCTTCGTCCTGACCAGGAGGTCTATAATAGACCCCCACAACTGTGCCACCCGTACCAGCCTGTCCCTTAATTCGCACCCACAGACTTTCCACTTGCTCCTCATCTGCCCCTGGACAGAACTCAATACATTCTAGTCACTCTTTCACATAAAGAGCAACTCCACCACCTCGCTTTGCTGACCTATCTTTCCTAAAAAGGACATAGCCATCCATGACCACATCCCAGTCATGCGAGCTGTCCCAACATGTCTCTGTAATTGCCACCAGGTCATAACCTTTAGACCGCACACAGACTTCTAACTCCTCCTGTTTATTCCCCATGCTGCATGAATTGGTGTACAGGCATTTCGGGGTGAAAGCAGAGCATGCTAGTGGCACCCTTGGGAGGTGGGAGGCCTTCTGGTCTTCATACTAGAACAGTGCCCCACTAGTTCAAACCCAGCTACAACCCCCTCGCACTTCAAATCTAACCTAAAGCTCTGTAAGTGAGCTCTGCTAACTCTTGCCCAGGTACCCTTTTTTCCCTGCAGGACAGGGTTTAAACAACTATCCTTTCCCTCAAATGACACAATAGATTGAGAGTCCTCCCTAGTCCGCCATCCTTCAAGCCCTAGCATCTTTCTCTTGGGCTTGTCCCTAACAGGCCCAGTTATCTCCCCTTCCCCCTTCATATCTAGTTTAAAGCCCTGTCAATGAGCCTGCTAACTCCTGCCCCAAAAACCTTTCCCCCCCCCGGGGCCTGGTGTATCCCAGCTGCTACCAGCAAACCAGGTGTCTCATATAGCAGCCCATGATTGAAAAACCCAAACCCCTGCCTTTGGCACCAGTCCCATAGCCATATATTAATCTGCAAACTCTTCCTATTTATCTCTTCACCCTTGCTTGTAACAGGTATGGAGGCAAACACCACTTGCGCTCCGGACCCTCTAACCAGCCGCCCCAGGGCCCTGAAGTCTCTCTTCATTGCCCTTGCCCTGCTTGTAATAATTTCATCACTGCCAACCTGAAAAACCAGCAGTGGATAGTAGTCAGAGGGCTGCACCAGATCAGAGAGTTTCCTTTTAACATCTCTAATCTGAGCCCCAGGTAGGCAGCAGACTTCCCTGTGAGATGGATCTGGTCGACAAATGGGCCCTTCTGTTCCCCTCAGAAGGGAGTCACCCACCACAATTACT